CATCTTGGGGAGGTCGCCATGGTCACCCTGGGCGCTGGGCCTTCCTGGCGTCGTGCCAGTGCCGCCGGAGACCCTTCAAAGACCTGTCACCTGGTCCGCTGCTGCCCCCGCCCTAGCGGGACCCTCTGGAAGCAAAATACGCGGCCTGCTCCCTTTCAAAATGCCTCTCATTCCCCAGTCCCCGCCGTGGGAAGAGCTGTGACCCAGGATTTCCGTGCGCAGGGACCAGGGTGAGAAGCAGCGAAGGCGGGGGACGTCGCGTTTATATCTCAGACATTCTTGTGAGGAACCGCTAAGAGATGTACAAGGCTCGGCAAGCTTCAGTGTATGGTTCGTTTCCGCTTGTCATCCTTTAGACCAGGGCTGTCCAAGACCGATAGGAAATTAAAAAATGTCATCGAATAGGCACCTACAAAGTAAAAGCCTAATGATACATTGTATTTAACGCAGTATAGCCAAAATAAGGTTTCAACATGTAACCGATAGAGAAACTTCAAGTGAGATATTGCAATTTCTTTTTATCGTATTTAGCTTCCAAAGTCCGGTGTAGCTTGGACCTGCAGCCGGCCTCGCTTGGGGCTGAAGCCACCTGTAGCCAGTGCTACCTTGTCAGCCCCTTTGGGCAGCTCCGGGCAACGTGATGATGGGAAACGGGATGAGGAGCTAGACAACAGGGATAAAACAACCAGGTAAAACACGAAACTGTCAGATGGCGGAGTGTAGGCGCTGTGGGCAAGTAGAAGGAGATCACGTTTGTTAAGGAAAGCACTTTTGGCCGTATCTTTGATTCTCCAACATTAACGCAACTTAAAGAAGTGGATGATGTTCTGTTGGGGAAAGGGCTCAGGTTTGTTCTGCAGGTTGCCTTGAAGTGACTGGAAAAGTAAGGGCAGTATTCTTCCTTTCTTCTCTCATCCTCTTCCCAGACCTCAGGGACGGAAATGGAATTTCACACGTTGGGTCCTTGCCGTCAAGGACTTCCTTTGGGGAAGTCTCCATTTACCAGGCACACAAAGCTAGGGTTGTCAAGGACGTTAGGAAATGTTGTTTTCAAATGTTTCTGGACTTAATTTCTATTCCTGCCAAAGTGATAAAAATTTAAAAATGAGCCCTAGCTGGTTTGGCTCAGTAGATAGACCGTCGGACTTCGGACTGAAGGGTCCCAGGTTCAATTCCGGTCAAGGGCACATTCCAGGGTTGTGGGCTCGATCCCCAGTGTGGGGCATGCAGGAGGCAGCCGATTAATGATTCTCTCTCATTATTGATGTTTCTATATCTCTCTCCCTCTTCCTTCCTCTCTGAAATAAATAAAAATATATTTTAAAAAATTTAAAAATGACAAGAATAGCCCTTCATGGTGTGAATATAATAGATGTTTGCTATAGATAGGGTGCTAGCCAGCCATCAGTGGTGGGAGGAACAAGGGGATTACGGTGATGGGAATCAGTGAAGGGATGTGTAGAGCAAGGATTGGGTGAGCATGAAATGCTTAAAGTGATATGCTATTTGGAAAATATTGAAAAATAACACAGGTCAGGTCTCTTCTTTGAATTACAAGGTCAACTCCCCGACCCTAGCCATCATGGCATATATGTGTGTAGCTCCCAAAAAGCCATCAGGAGAGTGATTTAAACTTTCAAGCCAATAAGGGCAGTGGTGGCAAGATTGGGTAGAGGTGGCATAGGAGTGGCACAAGTTGAATCTTGGTTTTGTCACTGAACTGTGATCTTGGATAAGTTACTGAAATTCTCAGTCTTTCATTCATAAAATAGAGTCAATATTCCCTTCAGAGTTCCAGTAAGAATCAATCAAGAGAACATGTTACAGCCCTGGCTGATGTGGCTCGGTTGTGTGTCGTCCTGTGCACCAAAAGGTTGCTCCTTCGATTCTTGGTCAAGGCACATGCCCGGGTTGTGGGCTTGATCCCTGGTGGGGCCTGTGCAGGAGGCAGCTGATCAATGTTGCTCTCTCTCTCTCCTTTCCTTTCTCTCAAAATAAATTTTAAAAAATCTTTAAAAAAAGATAATGTGTTACTCACTTAGAAGCCTGCTTCCCCCAAATCAGGTGCAAATGTTCAATGAGTGTGAGTCTGCCCACCCCTGCTTATCCATTCAGTCAATATTTATTGAGGCATTTCTCTGTAAAAGGTACCTTGGGGGAGACCAAGTTGAGTAAGACTGGCTTTACTATGGATTCGTTTCTAATATGCTTTTTATCTTTAACATTCTATGACCTTATGAAAATGGAAGTAAGGACAAAAAGATCGTGGTTACTCCAGTTCATTATCACTTCACATTTTCCAATTTCTTTACTCCTTTTTAAACTTTTATCCATTTATTGATTTTAGAGAGGGAGGGAGGCAGGTAGGTAGGTAGGGAAATATTGAGAGAGATTTGTTGTTCCACTTATTTATGCATTCATTGGTTGATTCTTGTATGTGCCCTGACTGGAGATAGAATCCGAAATCTTGGGGTATTGGGTAACAATTTCTTTGTTAGCTGTGCTTTTGAATCAACTTTATTCCACCTTTTTCTTCTTACTATTTTACTTTCTTCTCTTCCTCTTCCTGGAACATCAACCATCTAGTTTAACATTTCATCCTTCCCTATGACCTAATCTTTGAAAAATGCAGGTCCAAAATCACTTTATCACTAGTTAACTGTCTTTAAATTTCTTCAATAGTTTGCAAGGACAAAGGGGAAAAGAGAAAGATTAAAAAGCCAAATACCCAGAGGAATAAATTTCATAGACAATCTAAAACCTAGTATACTTATTCACCATAAATGCCATCAAGCTTTTAAAACATTTACCCCTGTAGTGTAAGGCCACGAATTATGAGAAAAACCTTTTTGGATTTTAAAATTGTTTCCTCTGAGCTTACTGTCTTTTGGGGGGATAAAAAAAGATAAAATAGAAAATTACTGTTGCCTGGTTACTTGGCTCTGAAGAAAAATGGAGAAATAATTCTCCTGTCCCAGTTTAAATGAATTCAGGTAGAGTAACCATGACAGCAACCCCTCAGCAAACACATGGTCACATCTGGCTTTTGAAATGTCAATATAGACTCTCCAACCCTAGACTTGGGGAGTACCTTTAGAGATCATTGTCTTTCATATAGATAGACTGACATTTAAACCATAGAATCTCCCCAATTTCTGAAGACCATCAGAGAAAAAAAAAGTTATCCATGCTTATCCCTGTATTTATTTTCTATTTGCAGAAAGCTACTTCTTCCCATTTCAATTTTTAGCCAGACTTAAGTAAAACCTTAAAAAACACTGTATTCTGCAAGCCAATTTCCTTCTCTGGTCTCTGAAGAGTCAGAGAATACCTAGCCAACCATTATGCAACTTTTATAAACATAAGGCTGCTAAATTTCCCTTCTGCCTCTCTTTTTTAAAAAAAAATATATTTTATTGATTTTTTACAGAGAAGAAGAGAGAGGGATAGAGAGTTAGAAACATCGATCAGCTGCCTCCTGCACGCCCCCCATTGGGGGTGTGCCCGCAACCAAGGCACATGCCCCTGACCGGAATCGAACCTGGGACCCTTCAGTCCGCAGGCTGATGCTCTATCCACTGAGCCAAACCGGTTCGGCATCCTTCTGCCTCTCTTGGGGTCAACCCATGAGCTTTATCTTTTAACTACATTTTTCTTTTCATTTTAACATTTTGTTTTCTCTCTAGCCTTTTCAAATCTTTTCCTAATTAGATCCTGGAACTCAGCAATTCTCTCAATAGGGCCATACCAGATCGTTTCCTACATGTTACATAGGTAGAAGTATATATTCTCAATACTGTGTTTGCTGCATTGCAGTGGTTTCCTTCTCCTCAATGTGCTATCCTGTTTGTAATCTTATTCTGTTATCACATATGATTTTCCATTTAGTGGTACCTACTTAATACTTTTAGCCTGTTTTTTCCAGATGACTGAAAAGAAGTATTTTTGAACAGATATACACACTAGACACAGTGCTAACCCCTTTAAGTTCATTATTTCATTTAATTAATTCAATCCATTTTATAGATGAAGAAACAGGCCCAGACAGGTTAAGGAATTTATTCAAAACCTTATTCCTCAGAAGTGGTAGAGTTGGGATTTGAGTCTTGGCAGTCTAATTCCAGTATCTACATTCTTAACTTACCCCTTCTATTGTAAGTTCATATAACAGGTATAATAGGCTCTCAACCAATAAAGTTTGGGAGCACCATTAAAAAACCTGAGAAAGCCTGGGCTGGGGTTATCAGATTTAGCAAATAAAAAGACAGCTAGAGAGAGAAACCAAGATGGCGGCATAGGTAAACACCGGAGATTGCTGCCTCGCACAACCACTTAAAAATACAACTAAAAGACGGAACGGACATCATCCAGCACAGGAAGGAGGCTGGCTGAGTGGAAATTCTACAACTAGAAGGAAAGAGAAAAGCATACCGA